CCTATTGCTCTGAAAAGTATTCCATGCGAAAGAGCACACTCAAAAACCTATTTTTACTGAGTTTTAAGTTGATTGGATGCATTTAAACCCAAATGTCCGCCTGCCTAGCCAAAATTGCCCACTGTGCTTCTGTTCGATCTCTTTGTCGTCCGTTTTGTCCTCTCGAGTTTTAACTGACTACTCTGTTGTTCTTATTCTCAGCACTTGATGGTTTTTTCTCATATGCATAGATATGTGTGGTAGAATACCACGTGAACTCTCATACTCCTTTTCTTTCACCATTCGTACTGTTATATGCAAGTCACGTTTCAGATTATGCAAAAAATCTATGTTTTGCAATGCAAAAATGGGAAGTTTTATGCTGGAAAAATGTCTGATGTCGATCGACGATTCGCAAAGCATCTCAGCGACGAAAATGGCAGTGAATGGACAAGACGTTATGGACCCTTGGGAGTGATTGAAGTTAGGGACAACATCAGTGATTTCGACGAAATGATCGTAACTCTAGAATATATGAAAGGATATGGTATCGATAACGTTCGAGGTGCACAATGGCGAATGTGCATTTGACACAGGGCCAACGAGCTGCAATAATGGCATCAATAAACACGGATGCATGTTTCCGTTGTGGACAATACGGTCATTATTCAAATAATTGTACTAATCAGCCGCAGCGAGCACCTGTAATGGCAACCATGCAGTGTGTTCGATGTGGCAGAGATTCGCATTTGGAAGATGATTGTTACGCCACATTCGATATCGATGATTGAAGGTTAGAGTGTTCTCGATGTGGAAGATATTCACATAGAGCTAATGATTGTTTTGCACAATCTGATGTAGATGGACGAAAATTATACTGACGCCAATACAAATAAAGCTGAGACAGCCTTGGCAGCGTCTCAAGAATAAATATGATGAATGGGTTATCCTACTTCATGCCATCTTTGCGATAAAAAACTCGATCTACACGAAAAATTATCAAACTCTGGTTTTTGTCAATGACTAAAATAAAATTTAGAATACAACGTAGTTTTGCTGTTATTTTTCGGTTGATGACCGAATTTAATTCGGAGTACTGCTTTCTAATTCGTCAATCTGTTTAAAAGAGGAAAAGAAACTATAGAGACTGACCGGCACCGATTTTTGAATTAGGTCTTAGTTTTTTGTTAAATTAAAGATTTTTATAAAACTCGAAAGGAATTTTCGGGTTTTGGAGGCTGTTGGTTGTCTGAAAAACCAACAAAGACTTAACTGAAAAATCGGCGTCGATCAGTCCATGTAGTTAGGTGTCTAGTTTAAAATAAAATTAACTCGAACTCTCCAGCTTGACGTATATTTAAAATGCTTGGGAAGTACTGCAGGGTGACCTTGATCTCTAGAAAACTCCTAAACGGTAAGACCTGAAGACAAAAAAGTTTTTTCATTCCCGTAACTCATTAAACCTAACATTTATGGAAAGTTTCGACAAGATCGGATGTACGGTGTCAGAGATAATTTCTGAGAGGGTGGGCCCCTTAATGAACAAAATAAATAAAATTCATTTAAAAGTATATCTGTACAGTAAAAATCAAACTCTAAAGTAACTAAATTCCTCAGAAAATTTATTTTTATCAATGAGAAATTAAATTTTATTTTTTTAAGATATTGCCCATAACTTTTCATAGATAAATTATTATAATACGGCTCTGTTTTGCATCTTATTAGTACCACAAAAAGAGTTAATAATACCAAACTATTAAATTATAGCGCTTTAGCTTGCTCTTATTTTTAAACAATGGCAGACATAACGCTAGAGGATACAGCTGAGGTAACCCAAAGTATGCTCTACTGGAAGATATACCTTGAGGTAAGCAGGGTATGAGAAGAGATGCAATCTCATAGGTGAGTACTGACAATGACTTGTAATTTGTCAGTTCTGCTACTTCAGAAAGATAATTTTTGCCCATTGGACAAACTCCCATCAAGACAAAATAACGGAATAGGTCATGTTACAAAATTTTGGGAAAGCACCGAACTAAGACGTTTTTTTTAAATATTTAGCTAAGAAAATAGCAAATTTTGAAATCTCTTTCAGACATTCAGAATTTCATTGCGCTAAGACCCAATGTCCTCCCGTAGTTGCTCTTTCTTTTTGGTCGCGTTTTTTCACCTGCTCTTGTAAGGGAAAACTGATTCTTTGCTTCTCTCTCTCTCTCTCATTCTAAGCCTCCGAGTCTCATCTAATAAATAATACCTAACATTTCCATTTCTAGAAGAATTACTGACATTTCGCGTACTTTTCAGCGCGAACTGCCACCAGTACCGTCACTATTAATTCTTGCATCTGAAAAAGATAATGTTAACAAACTTAACAACGAAGAGCTGATTGAACATTTTTGCAATGTATTCCAGTGCATCGAAGAAAAAATCATTACAACAATATTAAGCTTAAAAAATTTTAAGAGAAACTTCTTTCACTTTCTGAGAAAAAGGTCTTAAAGTGCAAGAGAAAACAGTAAGGTAATAAGATCGCTAGCAGCTTTCGCTCAGTACCTCGTTCTAAGTACAAAACCTCATAACTGTAACAAACGGTCCATCTTCTATTGAAGTATACTCGCAACGTCAGTCATTTTATCGTCTGTGATGTTCTGTATAAACTATACATACTCTCTGTTTCCCCATGAAAGCAGTACACACTTTATATTTATCCATAAATTAAGTATTTTACTAAAAAAATATTTCTAATGTTTATGTGTTTTATAATCTTTTTGTGATTGTATAACACAAACCTGTTAGTCAAACTTAGACGAGAGAAACAATTGGAATTGAACTGATGTACTGCAAGAAATACATCTATATTCAGCAAACGTCTCGCTTTTGCATTTTAACAGAAACAATGTTTATATATTCCGAAAACGCCCTTCTTCCAGCATTCACTTCAACTCTCCCGCTCAATTTTCTCACGTTTTTTCTTTCCCTGGCATGATGCCAAAACTTTTTAAAATGTACTACCTCATTTTTTATTTGAAGCTTCCTGCCTTAAATGTGTCATAACGTAGATGCCCCTGGATTCATAACACACTCACTTTTATGTTCTAAAGGCTCAAATCTTGGATTTATGGATAACTTTGAGTGCTCTATTCAATGAATCATAAAAAGTTTTAGACGACGTTACGCTCGCTTTGATTTATCCTTCATTCCTGTGCGAACCTTCTCTTGAGAGCATATTACTTCGCTAAGAAAAGCATCACAGTGTAAAGTTTTTTGCAGTTCTAAAACTGTGATATTAAGCAGTATCAGAATAATACATAAAATGAAGAATTTGCGCTTGATGCAAGTGCATTTATTGACTTAGGTAGAAAAAATTATTTTAGTATTTTGCTAGATTCACTACTCAAACACCAATAAAATAGTCAACATATAAGAACAGTATATACAGCATTAGCAGCAAAAGTTTAAAGCAAAAAGCAGTCTTTGTATTTCGCAAGAGAATTAGCGTGACATGATTCTAATCATAAAAAACTTTATCAAATATTGTACTTTGATTCTCTTTGTCCAGCCAAACGTTTTGTTCGCTTATTAGTTGATTTTCTGCAAGAGTAACCAGCAGTCTGGAAGAAATGAAACATTATTAGTTGTACATGTTGTTTCCCAAAATACTTTTACTACAGTAGTAATCATTGATCATCGTATTATTTCACGGATCGAACAGTAAGAAAATTTTAAATGTCTTTTTAGTTGCGAAGATATGTAATGCAAATCTGCCTTATTTTGCGTCTAGAACGGATTTAACGGCCTTTTGGATTTAACTTTGTAAAAATGAAAAATTTTGTTCTAATTTATCTGCATTTTTCGAGCAATCTGAATGCATGTTTTTAAATAAAATTATTTATTTAAACTTACCACGTCCAAGTTACTTGCTTCAAACATTAAAGTAGAACGATGATCTTGGATGGTATTCATATTGACAAATGGAGCTATAAAAAGAAATCTAACATATGTAAATCCAGCTAGCACGTAAAACCATAGCATAGTAGTTTTCGATTAGGTGTAGAAAAGGTACCGTAGTAATGATATGGATGACTCTGATCATTTGAGTCATATAAAAAGCCATACCACTATTCTTTTTTTTGGTCAAGTAGAGAAACTCTATCATACCGTCAAGTGTTTGATCATACGTATACGGCAACTGCTCAACTTCTACACCTTGATAAGAAACAACAATGTTTACTTTGGCCGTTCCCAATAGTTGATAATACGCCGGTGCATTGAAATATATGCAATTGCCATTTTTTTCAAAACGTTGAATTGGACAGTACCATCCGGTACGATTTTCCGTGAAAACTATCGTTAAACCTGAATAACGAATGAAAACGATTACTTTTCTGCTCTTACACACCATAATTCTTTTATGTTTACCTTGTCTGAGTACTCTTCCTTTGAGTAAAATAAATATTAATTCTCCGCCTTGATATTTGCCATATGTTGGACCATAAACAACGACATCAACAGCTCCGTAAGCTATAGATAATAAAAGAGAATTATAATTTAGAAAGACAAGAAATTCTTTTTACGTTACCTTCCGCCATTACATTGCTCAACACTGTTGTGTTTTGATCACGTACACGTTGACCAAATTGATCAATATAACATCGTGTAAATGCTAAACGAGATTTGTCTAATTGTCTCTGCCTTATAACATCCTTTGTAATCTGATCTTTTTGAAGTAGTTTCATTAATTCTACTTGGAACCTTCAAAAAACTAATTTTTTCTAAAAGCTAAACTACACTTGGTTCAAGTACTTACGTTTTGTAACCTTTGGCATAATCTTCTTCTGTCACTTGATAGTACAATAGATTTTTTTCTTCGTCCTTCACAATGAGATCATGTTGCCCAGTAATTGAGTTAAGCTTACAGAGTTTGTTATCGATATGATAAAGATGAGGTGAGCCATCAACAGCTTTTAGAGCGACCTCAATATAATTGAGTGAAGCTGAGCGCCATTGTTGACAAATCTAGAAAAATATTTTGTCAATCGCACATACGTTCAACTGAAAAATGCTTTAGGTTAATTACTTCAATTGTTGGATATTCTTCTTTATCTCCTTGCTTACACCGAATGTAATGAGACGTTGTTTTACATTCATTTATTGTTCTTGGACGATATTCTGATCTTGGTTGGCAGATGATTTTGATTTGAATAAACTTAGATGTGCCATACTGATGAACAGCATCCAATTGAAGTTCTATATAGTAACAACATATTTTGACCTATAGACAAAAATTAGGAGTATTTCAATACATACGAGAATTTTCTATAGTCGTCTCTCCAGGTTGACCAATGGTTCTAATTTCTGAAATAAAATGCTGTTAACATATACAGTTCAATATGGTCATCTGAAACGTGCCTTGATAATCCTGCACGGGTTGAACAGTAGACGAAGTGTTATATCGAACGTAGTCTGGATTTTGAGCTGACGCTATTGAGGACACAATACATATATGATCTATTATTGTACTATTGGAAACTGTATTAACCTACGTTTAATTTCTTTTCGTAATGATTTTATCTTTGATAGTTTCTGATGTTGAGTATTTAAAATGGCTTTTGTCGTAATTTGTGTATCTGAGATAATCAGAAACACCCAGTAGTATCGTATTGACAAAAGTATGATGAGTATTTCTATTACGTACTGTCAAAAACTTGATCTTCAGCTGGCGTAGAGCCGATGAAATCTGTACTTGGCATCATGTCTAATAGAAAGACACTTCAAGCGTCTGTGAGGAAGTTATCAGCCAGATTTACCTATGTTTATTGTACTTGATGTTTTAGACGACAGTTGGCTTGCAGTAGTTGTTGATTCCAGTAAAGAATCAGAATCTTCTGTGATGGGTGAGATAGACAGATCGATATTCATATCTTGTTCGTTGTTGTTTGGATTTATCCATGTTAGATAAGAACTGATGGGATTCACGTTAGAATCGGATATTAGGTGATTGGTTTTACTTGTCTGAATTAACAGTGGTAATCGTCCAAGACTGTTCAGAGTGTAGGGTGAAGCTTCCATTTTTGTTCCCATTAAGGCTAAGTAAAAAGAAACACTAAGTGCCACATTAAGTATGACATGTTGCTTAAATACCATACCGTTACAAATTTTTTCGTGATGACTCATACATAAGGGGAAAAATCCTCTTTCCTTCTTTCCTTTTCTTATTTAAAATTGTCCCAAATTGTGATTAATTGGAAAAAGTGATGTAACGGGTATACCGAAAAATGTTAAAAAGAAAAACGTTAAACGATGAATATTAAAAATCTACTAAATATTTTTCTTCTTGTAATATAGAAAAATATTAAATTGTTTTATTAAGATAGAAAAATATTTAAATAAAGTGGAAAAAATTAGGTTCCGCATATTCGTGCTTCCTTAGTAGGTTGAAATTGTGACATCAGTTCCTTCATTCACAACGAGATAAACGGGATAGAAAAATATTTAATTATTTCAAAATAAAGGAAAAATATTTAAATAAAGAAAAATATTGACCGGACTACTTCTTAAATAAGGTGTAAAAATATTTAATTGATTTTTAATATTAGTCGTTTAATATTAGTCTAAAGACCTGATGTAACTTGCCTTATTTAACTTCACGTTCAATTTCAATCGTTCAGCTTCAACCTTACTCAAATCCTCAGATAATAGAGAAAATTCTCTCTAATCAAGCAGAAATTTTATCTTGATTTCAATCAAAACATAAACTTGAAGTACCACTACGCTGGATTAGTGACATCGATCATCAAGCAATGATCATACTAACTTACATCATCGAATCGATCACTATTATCAAATGGATAACCTATAAAAGAAAACGTGCAACACCCTGTTAACTCTGTTTTGATAACACGTTTGACGTCTATAGAAATTATTTACCATTGCAGAAGTACTCACTGACCAACAATAACTTGTTAATATTAGCATTGGTACGATTGTTGGAATAGTTGTCTAAAAAAGAATGATTTATCAGAGTTTGAGTGCATTGAAAATAGTTATCAATCACAGTATATGTACCATTTAAAGCAGGAAACAAGCAAACGATTAATCGAACCTTGTTTCCCGCTTTACACTTAAATAGTCCCATGGGATAAGTCGCGCCTCTTAGAATTACTCATTTTGTAAGTGGTACGACGTACTGGTCATGAGAACTCACATCAGCTTTCGGTTGTAATGTACCAAAATCTTTATTATGAAATTTTGCTCGATGATAGAAAACAGAAGTACGAAAGCACAACTACCAATAACAATGAGATGATCTTTTGTGATGATGACGCATTTATCTGATACATAACTGCATTACAAAAAAATTTCATATAAAAATATTCGATTACATTTTCGGTTATATAGTTCCGCTGATTAAGCAGTTACTCGACTTAACTCTATCCAGTTATATCAGTGCGACGGGGATGATTCAAATATGGATGCGTAAGATTTGCCATTTGTGCAAACGAAGGAAATATAAAAGATTTTCTAAAAGAGAGTCATAGCGAATTATAATAACACTAAAGAATTATAAATCATGATCATGATCTAGGGACACTTTTCAATACAAAAGCAAAGTAGAAGAAAAGAAGATTTTTCCATTCGTGTATGAAGCATCTTCACGTAATAGAATAAACTTTGTAAAGTATTTGAGCAACATATCATACTCAATGTCTCAACCTCCGTGCAGCTATTTTATTTCTGCAGAGCTACTTATATGGGTGAAAAACAATATAGATTTCAACAGGTATAGTGTTGAGATCTCCAGGTGATTTTAGTGGGATCTTCAGAAAAACTTTCCTGAAGAACAGAAGTGTTGTGTGTGGGCTTTCTCAGTGCACAGCCACTTAGTAAACTGAGATAAAGTTGTGTACTTCCACAAATCTGAGTGTGTGATTAAACAGGAATGTGTGATTTATGTGTTTATTTACTGTTGCAACGGTTCGCAACTAAATCTGAGTCAAAACTGATAGTATTACTGGAACATACTTTGCTGCGGCATCGTATGAAAGCGAATTTCTTGTGAAAATAAAATCACTTTCTACTTGGTGTCACCACAGTTTGCATACTGTCTTTGTATTTACCAGGCACGTATCGTTTAAACTGTTAAACTGTTACACTGTTCCATGATGAAATGATTCATTTAGGACTGTCGCGTGACAGATTAAATGGTATAAAGAAACGATGTTGGTATATAACTTATGAGGGAACCCCTTGAGGTTATAAATGGCTTTTGAACTCGGACTACTTGTAGACCTCAGTGAGTAGTGAAATACCCTAAGTTGGTTCATCCCTATGATGCTTTGTTGCTGAGATATTGAATTTTTAGTCAGTTTTTGCCTATAGAGCTTGGATTTCGAGCAAAATCCGACTTTCGAATTTTGACTTGAAACTTGCCACACTGGTAGCCCATGGTCATAGT